CACTCCCATGCTCACATTTCTCGCCGCCGGTGAGCCCCTTCCGCCTCTAGCCACCATGTGGGGCCGCATGTGGAGCTCCCGTTGCGGCTTCGGGAGCAAATCCGGTGGTGGCAGCGACCCCGAGCGCGAGCGGCGTGTCCGGTCGACGACGCAAGGAAGAGCGAGGCGAGGAAGTGGACGAACAGGGGCCTCTCGCCGCCGTCGAGCTTCCGCGTCCGCGAGACGGAGGAATACGACCGTCGGCATGGGCGTACGCCCTCCTCCACCGCGAGGCCCTCTTTCGCCGCGAGCTCTTCCTCTTCCGGCGCGAGCCTTCTTCCCGTGAAGAGGGAGTGGTCGGAGGAGCCGAAGGAGATCGAGGTCGTCGCCGTGAAGCAGGAGCCCGAGGAGGCGGAGCGCCGCGGCGTTGTCGGGCCCGAGGACTTCGTCGCCAATGTCAACGCGGTCGCGGCCACCATCGCCGAACGCAGCTTGCGCGAGGAGGCGGAGCGCCGGCGCCACCACGAGGAGCTCGACGACCTCGTGTTCCAGCAGGCGGTCGTGGCGAACCTTGCCACCAAGGAGAAGGACGACGAGTGGCGGCGCATCCGCGAGAAGCAGAAGGCGAAGTACATCGACATCGGCAGCTCTGACGAGGAGGATTGAGCTCCTCCATCACGTCGTCCATGGCCGCGAGCTCGCCGCCGTTAGATCCTCATCCCCTCTAGTACTAGTAGTGAATGTAGTATGTAGTATGAACTAGTCTCTACTCCTAATGGAGCAGTTGGTAGTCTCGCTTCCAGGGTTTTTTTCGTCCCACCTCCCATGGTTTTTTTTGGTACCTCCTCCCACCTTTGTTAGGTTTTTTTCGTAGATTTTTTTTCGTCCCCTCCCCCCACTTCATCGGTTTATTTTCACGTCACCCTCTCACACAACGAAAGAAATCTGAACAGATCAGAACTTTCCATACTAGCACAAGTTATTTAGTAATGTAGAATCAATCATGAACAATCTCTAAAGATCAAATCTAAATTAATTAACCTTACCTTAAATCACTCAATCACATTAATTAGAAAACAAATAATTGATTTTCAAAAAAATCGCTCAATCACATTAACCTTACCTTAACTCACGGATGGTAATCAATCTTCAAACAAAGGAAACAATACATCGAGGGAGCAGTAATAAACTCCCTTTCTTATGACATGTATATGATCTTCCCTTCCCTCTCCGTTGCCGAGCGTTCTTGATTCTCGAGGCCGATGCTTGGGCTGCGTCACTCGGTCACGACGGTGCCGGAGGACGAGGACGGCGACGCCGGGTGCCGCGGCACCGCATTGGCCGCGGCTGGTGAAGGGGGCGAAGAAGGGCGGCTTCCCTGGCCCTGGCCGTGGCCGTGGCCCTGGGAGTTGGTGCGGTGGAAGAGACACTTCAAGGACCCAGCGTGGGTGGCCGGCGCGCAGACGCACTTGGAAGCGGGCCCATGGCCCGCGCCGGACGGCGCCGACGCCGACCCGGGCCACCTCCTCCGCACTAGCATGTCACTTGGAGCTGTGGCTGGCCGATTTACATCAAATTAATTCACTCAGTTGTGGTGGCAAATATAATACACATAATCCATATTATTATGCACTAGCGTGTGTGTGTGTGAAATAGATGAATTATGGTCCCGTACCCAATAAGATGGATGTGTGTGTGTGTGTGTGTGTGTTAGAGAGAGAGAGAGGGAGAGGGGGAGAGAGAGTGAGGAAGAGGGAGGGAGAGAGTGTGTGTGAGAGAATTTGATGGTAAAAAAGGTCGCCAATGTCACTTGATATATATGAGAATATTAATATTGAACTCTTAAAGTTAATGTGGCCCCGTTGCAACGCACGGGCGTTCTTCTAGTGTTTGTAATGAATTAGTGTTTGATCATGTAGTATATGTAGTATGTGATGAATATGTGATAAACTACTACGGTTGCAATTTCTGCCGCGAAACTTTTTTTCCAATTATGCAGTTTCATATACGGTTTCTGTTCGGTTGCGCACGTTTTCGACCTGCAAACGGGATCCGCGTTGAACTGCAAACGCGTTTTGCGGGGTCTGCTAGAGTGGCTCTAAAGACTGTATCATGAAGAACGCGAAGAGAGAGGGAGAGAGAGAGAAAAAATCAAGTGCACATCTTTTCGGAAGTCCTCGGGCCCGACGACGTCTGCGGGTCTGCTGAGTTGCTCTAAAGACTGTACAATGGTAACCGCGTCGACATCTTTTGAAAAGGTGCACATCTTTTTGGAAAATTTGAAAAACACGCAACGAGTTTCCAGCTCTCACAGTTTCCATTTCCAAGTTGATGTGATGCGCCGTTCACTATACTTCAATTTTTCATCTTTTGACTATATCTACTGTACTCTCAAATTACTCCCTCCGTTCGGAATTATTCGTCGAAGAAATGAATGTATCTAGATGTATTTTAGTTGTATATACATCCATTTTTACTACAGGTAATTCCGAAGGGAGGGAGTAGTTGCGTACGAACCAACCCCGACCAACGCCGGCGGCGTTGGCTCGCTCGCCAGGGTACGATGTAAACGGGGTGTCGACGACTTGTGGACTTGTTTACTGGGTGGCAGGCACAGCAACCAAACAGTGGCTGGATCTTTGATCGGTACCAAGAGCCGCCCTCTTGGGGGTTGACACTGTGCTGCTTGTGTTGTTGAATATTCTTTCTCTTCCAAGTGGTTCGCTTTGAATGCTCCTGCTTTAACTAGGTTCTTTGATTTAATATAGGAGTCAGGCTTTGGATACCCGAAACTGCACATGCAAAATTTTCTAGTCAACAGTTTACCTGGGAGTATATAAAAACAATAATGCACTCTTATCAAATTTTTAAAAGGTAAACTGCGCATAGTTTAAAGGAAACAAAGGTAGGATGCGCATGTTGGGCTTGGCAGCCAACGAATAATGCAACGACAGAATACTAGAGCTTGGCACATGCCAAAATATTACAAACCTACCCTCCCTCCCATCATTCCGCGGTAATCAGTCGATAGTGCAAGAAATGTTTCTCGCAAAAAAAAAAAGATGGCGCAAGAAACGCAGAGGTAATCTAGGGGCCACCCAAATTTCATCGCTCTGCAAGTAAACATGCTGTGTGTGTGTGTGTGTGTGTGTGTGTGTGTGTAAAATAAAGAAACTTATTATCAGAAGATCCCTTGGCTGCAGTAGTGCCGTTTCTTTAGGAACGTTCTCTGACTGACCATTTAACGAACAAACTCATCAGAAGATCCCTTGGCTGCAGCAGTCACCAATCACGGTCCTCCCTCCGAATGTGCATCTTGAGAGTAGTAAATCCAGGCACTAAAAACCGCCTGGGATTTCATTTCAGGTTTGGTAGGCCCATGCGTGCCGCACGTGGGAATATGCCGCTACTGACGGATCAGGAGCACTGACGGGCGGTTAGCAATTCAATTAGCATATGGGTGGAATCCGTTGGCAGAGAGCGATGACCAAGGAACAGCCGAGCGAGTAGTACCAGCCAGCGGATCCCAGACCTTCCCGGCGATCCAATCGGCGGCCTACTCAGGCTCAGAGAGACGAGATCCACTTGGAATAAGATAAGTGAAAAGCGCGCGCACGCATGACAGTCAGTATATATATATCTCGCCGTTTCTAGCCATCTAGGCAGGCAGGCAGGCTCCACGGCAGCGACTCTCCACGCCGCCGAAGAGCTCGGCAGCTCGTCTCCCTCCCGCTCCTCGCGCACCCAAGAGGCCATCCGTCTGTCCTCCCCCGACCCCATCCTCCTCCTCCTCCTCCTCCTCCTCTCGCACCTTATCTTACTCGTTTAAATACCTTGTCCTTCTCGGGCCTCCAGGAGAGAGAGAGAGAGAGGGGGGGGAAGGAACCAACCAGGAAGAAGGGTAGAGAGAGAGGGTGGGTGGGTGGAGAGAGAAACAGAGAGGAGAGAGAGAGAGGGACAAAAACATGGCATTGCTGCCCGGCATTGGCTGCACCAGCAGCAGCAGCGTCCTGGCACGAGCAGGATCGCGGTGTCTGGCAGCGGCGTCCCACGCGCCCTCCTCCTCACCTCTCTTCCTCCTGCACGTCAATGGCGGCGGCGGCGGCGGGCAGGCGCATCTCCTCTCGCGCAAGGCCACCGGCAACGCCGCAGGCTTATTAAGCGGGAGGAGGAGGAGGCGGGACCTATCCGTCGTCGCGGCGGCGGCGACGGCGGCCAATGTCACGCCGGCGTCGCCCCGCGGCGTCAGCGCCAGCGACGTCCTCTGGCCTTCCGCCGGTGAGTCTCTTGAGCTCCCGTCTTCTTTCCGCTTGGCTGGTGTGGTGTTCCCGGATCTTCATGCTCCCGGCCGGTAGTGTCAGGTAGGTGTTGCCGGATGGGTATCCTCTCTTCAACGGTACCTGCCAGACAAAGATTTTAACCATTGAGAGCATCTTTATTTGCAAAGCCATAGAGTTTCATTGGTATTACCAATAATTTTTCATCATGCTCAAGCTGAAATATATCATCATGATGCAGGCGCGTTCCTGGCAATGGCAGTGCTGGGAAGGATGGACCAAATGATGGCCTTCAAGGGAGTATCATTGACAGTTGCACCACTTGGGGCCGTCTGCGCCGTGCTCTTCACCGCCCCAGACTCACCACCTGCCAAGGTTCGGTTCCTGCCTTACTACTAGTCAACACCATTTCTTAATTTATATATTTGTATCACACAGCTACGAACAACCTAACCTAGGGCAGATTTACAATGACCTAGCGCATGCACTGATTAGCTTCAAAGAAAATCTATGTGCATAATGCATCTAAACGTTTCTTACTAGTGTCCATCTTCGAGAGTTGGTAGAATAGTACTATATTCGTAACTACAGAATGCGCAAAGAGTGGCTGTACCTCAACAGATCAGTTCATGTTAATTTTTGAAACAAAATTTCCAGCCAATGAACTATGCAGATTAATATTCTTGAAGTGCTCCATCCATAAGCTGATAAGTGGTTGGTATCAAAGCATATATACTGCTAGAACACTATGAACTTTGTTGAAGTCTCAGCCCACTGTGATTGGCTTCTCAAGTCATCAACAAAACATAAATTTTGATGATTCCTAAAATTTTCAGTGCAGTAAAAGGCTATGTTATAGTAGCTTTTTCATCTGCCTTGCAGTGAAACGAGAGATCTGGATAACCAATACTAACACTCTCAGGTGGAAATTCTTGCAGAAATATAACATGTTCGTCGCTCAGATTGGTTGTGCGGCCATCGGCGTGCTAGCCCTTTCGTTCTTCGGGCCCGGATGGCTAGCAAGGGGTGCAGCTCTCTCTGCATCCATAGCATTCATGACCATCACAGGCTCTTCGCACCCTCCAGGTAAACCCTCAACAGAAATACTACCTCCGTAAGGAAATATTTATATGTGGCTGAATTTGTCTTACTGAACTCTTATTTATATGTGGCTTGTTTTTTTCAGCTACGAAATGCAGCAAAGAAATATTTTAAGCTCACCTCTTTTTATGATAACTGCAGCTGCGAGCTTGCCTCTCCTGTTTATTGATGGTCCGAAGTTTCACCATTTACAACTTTGGTATGCACTTTTCCCTGGGGCTGCCGGCTGCGCCATCCTTTGCTTGATTGTAAGTTAATAACTGTACATCTCATCTATCCTGAAACTACAGCAGAATTATTAGATTGAGAATCAAACATTGACCCTTTTACTGCACTTGTTGCAGCAAGAAGTGGTGGTTTACCTCAAGAAGAACTGCAAGTTTTGATTCAAGTGGTGGCTTTTCCTGATTCTTGATGGTTTGATCATTATCAAACCTGTGGCATACATAATTTGACGAAGAGGCCTCTGGATGAAGTTGATAAATGTAGATTTAGTCTTCTTGGTTCATTTACCAAGGAAAAGTAGTAGGAAAGAAGCTGATTTTGCTTCATAATTTTCATTGATCATGGTTCACGCCATGAAAATGTGAAGTACATATATACCAATCTGAATGGAGTGTGATATTTCGACACAGAAATGCCTTTTTTTTCTCAATAGTATTCTTCATGCAATACAACTTGCGGCTGCAAATGACAAATAAAACATTTCAAATAACCTCTGTTAATCTGAAATGAAAAATACAACCATTCGTTCTGGACCATGGTAGCAGTTGCATGCACACTGACACTGACAAAGTACAGTTTGCAAACCCGATGCAGTTCTGATTAACAATTGAAAAGGTAAAAAGTGTATCGAGTTATCTATACAGATGCCACCATAGATGCAATAAAAAATGTTATCTATGGAGATGTATAGAAAGGGGATAATATTTTTAACTTATACAAACGGGCAGCAGGATAAAGCACTTCAGTGTTGCACTAATCACCCTGGACTACTAAGCCCTCTGCTTTACCAACTTGGAAACTTAGCTAATCAGACTATGCAAGTCTCAAGAAAAAAGTATCCAGTTATCCCTGTTACTACTATACATCCCAGTCATCACCTCGGCTGCTAAACAACCTTTTAGCAGATAAGTTCCCATAGACTTCTGAAAATTTAGCAAGGCATTTGCTCCTAACATGATAATGTGCTTGTGTGTTTCGACTAATGGCTACTCCTGAAAACTTAGACATATCGATTGCCCAAGCTGGCTTTACATACTCCACCATGCTCATTGAGCTTGCATTTGCAAACAGGAAATTCAGGAGCACATCCTCACAATTGAAGAAACTGTCTACCATCTTCCTTCCTACCTCAGCCTTCTTGCTCCAATACCTCTCAAAGGCCAAGCCATGATCCATGAATGCTGCTCCAGTCAGTATCATGTTATAACCTCCTTGTTGCCGAGCATACCTCTCATTGCGGTATTCCAGTGGGGTACCTGCAGCAAGGCGTGGGTAGTACCCAACAATCCTATCAGGGTGCTCCCTCCATACCTTGAACCCACGCTCTAAGTCGTCACATGGCATCATGATATCATCATCGAGCTCCATAACAGCTCTTGTCTTAATTTTTTCATCTATGTTGAATCTATTGTTCAGAGTGTTCTTATCTTCAACTCTGACCCTGACAGGAACAGCTGACTTCAATTCATTTAGCACTGGGGGGCGGCCTTTATTCCAGATAACCACAATCTCCCTCACTGATGCACATTTGGAGTAATGCTCCACAAACATCTTCAGATTCCAAAGACGGGCATCATATGTCATAGTTAACAGCGTGAACTGTGAGTACCTACCCTTGATTGGATATGGCTCTTCAGCACCATTGCCACCATATATGCAGTGAGTTCCAAGACAAGTCAGAAAAATTAAGACTAGTATTACTAGCACAACATAAACTCGTCCCTTCCAAGTTCTGTAGTTGATTCTCCCACCAAGAAGAGAACCCAACTTGTTCAAACTGGAAAACAGCGAGCTTAGCTTATACTTCAGAAAGAACTGCTGCTTTGAATGGACGAAGTCACCCCGTTTCTCAATATGCGGAGCACACCATCTGAGTGGTATTGTGCATCTAATTGCACCAATAAGCCCACCGAGCAGAAGAACTAGCAACAGAGTGACTCCATAAAACATGTACCCTATGGTCAGGCGGTGAACTGAATCGTTTGAAGGCACTCTATCACCATCCATTACCCCAATCCAGAGTTGACTTGATGGAAGCCATTGAACATCAAGGTGATGGGATCGTGCGCCGTTCCATGCATTTCGACCCTTGCGGGGCTTGTCAAAGACAAATGGGACCTCAATTTCCTTGTATTCATTTGCTGTCAGGATTTCAACTTTGAACACTTTAATACTATGGCCAGACACACCACCACTCTGTTTGCCTATACGATAGAGATCGCCGTCATAAACGAATGGCCTGCCTCCATTTCTAAAACTCGACCCGTTATCCATGCTACCGATTGTATTATGCCTGTGTGGATTCCAAGGAGCAAGAGGAGAGCTGCTATACCAGATACTGAGCTCTCCATTCTGCTTCGCACCATAAGAACTTAAATCTGACCCAAGCAGCCAATAGGAACCCCTGAAATTTATGATGGCTGAATCCACAAGTGGCTTCTCCAGAAGGACCTTCTCCAGTGTCCACTTAAGGGGGAAATCCAATGCACGATATAACCGGAGATCTCCATTCTTGCTACTTTCAGGCATCATATAGACCTGTGGAGCCAATAGGCAAGCAAAGAAGCGCATGTGAGAATGATTACAACATGAACTTGTTGGTTACAAATAAAATAAGCAGCTGCGAGTGGGATATTTGCCTTGCTATTGTAGCTGAACACGTATGGGTACGAGAGATGCCACTCCTCATCTAGCACCACGCCCAGCTGCTGCCATGTCGCGCCGGCGTCCTTGCTCACGGCAGCGGCAATGTCGCCTTGCGATGTAACGGGGTTCTTCGTCTCGAAAAACATGTAGATGGCATCACCCTGAGGAGAATTTAGCTTCACGTCCATCAGGGCAAGAACAGGAATCGATCATGGTCGTTGTCAAAATTCACAGGAAAGATGGCCGGCAGGGTACGAATCACAATTCACAAGTACCACTGCTGATTTCACCTCTCGGTGTCCAGATGTTTGGTAGTTCGAACCTGGAGGAAGAGGAAGGGGCTGGCGACGAAGCTGCTGGGGGACCCGGCCTCCGCCACGTCCGCGCACGTCACCGCCGGGTTCGCGACGGGCCACGCCGCGCCCGCGTCCGCCGAGATTCCCCACTGCACGCACGCGAACCACACGGAAAGCCAAAATTAACGCCACGAGCGACGACGACGACGCGCCTAGGGGGGGAATTGGGGCCGTTGAGGTACGTGTTCGATGGGCTTGAGGGCGAACGGGGAGTCGCCGAGGAAGACGCCGGCGGACCAGGAGCCCTCGGGGTCGGGGCGGCAGCGGCGGGCGTCGGGCGGGCTGGGGAAGCGGGGGGCGAGGGCGCGGGAGAAGGCCGCGGCGACGAGGGCCAGGAGGGAGGCCGCCGCGGAGAGGTAGGCGGCCGGGTGGAGGCGCCGGCGCGGCGTCGCCGGCCGCGGGGACGACGACGACATCGGCGGTTGGAGATGGGAGGTGGGTGTGCACGTGTCGCGCGGAGAAGCCGTGCAGCCGCGCGCGTCGGGGGCTCTTTGCGCGGAGCGGGACGTGACGGTTACGGGGAAAAAATCCTGGGACGTCGATGGCCGATCCGACGGCTGCCGTGAGCCCGCAGGAACACGCAGTCTCGTCAAGTCAGAGAGCTCACACTATTCACATTTCACAACATCAATGGTCTTCACAATTGTCGCTAGATTCACTTTCAAAGATATTCACTTATGTTGTGATTTACATTCACTAGTATGTATTTAACATAATGATTATATCAGTTAAAGACTTGTCTCAGCAGCCGCCATATATTTTGCGGCGAAGAGAGTACAACAGAAGTGCTTGTCATTATCACCCAGTCGCAGGTTTTGGATGATAGGAAAATAGATACCGAAAAACATGAGCAGCGAAAACGGCAACCATGAGCACAGTACGAGGAAAAGGAAAAACACTGTCAAGGCAGAGCAAAAATGGGATTCTGGACATGTCACATGAATTTCCAATATCATCAGTAACATCAATAAAAAGTTCCAGATTTTCCCTTCTCAGCTCAATAAGGGGGTAACATTCCCAGCAAAGTAGCACAAAATACTTGCTCCTTCGCATATATGGCGTGTGAGTTGCATCAGAAAAGCACTTGCTCCCAAGTTGGTACCAATATCAGCAACCCATGCCACTATGCAACAATGTCATGAATCCATACGTGCCTCCAGACAAGATCAAAACCGCTTTATTTACAGTTCTAGATTTCTAGGCGATCCCACAAACGGTGCTGTGGTCTTTTACAATATCTTCCTATCCTTTAGGTACTTGTACATGATGAAAAACCCGGCTACTGCTCCGACTGCTATTCCGCCAGTCGTCGCCCAAAATGCCCACTGCTCCAAAACAAACCAACTGTCAAACAAAAAGGGCATATGCCACATCGGCTACGAATCCAACGGCTAGCGCCGGCAGGTGTCTGTCAGACTGTCACTGAAGGCGGAATAAAATCTGGGGAGTGCGATGCTATACCGTGTTGTTCTCCAGGTATGATTTGAGGTTCATGCCGAATATCCCTACACGAAGAAAGAAACACGGTGATTTAGCCAGGTGCAAACAGCATTGTTTAGGAGTGCCGTGTTGGGAAAACCACCACCTTCTGGTGAATAAGGAAGCGCGCAAAGTTGTGATATGCTCAAGATTTTTATACCTGCGATTAATGCTCCTACAGCGACGCAAAATGTTCCGACCTGAAGAAGCAACTCCACTCTGCTCACTTCCAGTCGTCGGGAACTGTGGTAAGGGAAAACGTCATGTCAATGGTACGAGCAAGTTGGCTACATATATTTAACGGCACCAAAATACAAGATCCTGTAATCCTCAGAATCGTTTGAATGCTACTAGATACTCCCTCCGTTTGGAATTACTTGTCACAAAAATGGATGTATCTACAACTAAAATACATCTAGATACATTCATTTCTTGGACGAGTAATTCCGAACGGAGGAGTACATCTGTTGTCAGAGACGTAGGAGCCACCACCTTATACTAGTTTCATCATTTTATATTGACCTCAACCCAGTTCTTCAAGGCCCTCAACCCAGTTCTTCAAGGCACGGCATTCTCGCTTATGCGTAGAACCCAAAACAAACTTAATCAAAATGCACAAACCTTAAGTTCACTGCAATTGAATCTTCCATTTCTCTTGCAGAATCAAGAAGCCTCTCTGC